GCTGAGAGCGGCCACTGCACTCCAGTCTGGGCGACAGAGTGAGAATCCAACTCAAAAAAATTTTTTTTTGAGTCGGGGTCTCACTCTGTTGCCCAGGGGGGAGTATAGTAGCATGATCATAGCTTGCTGCAGCCTCAACTCAGGTGATCCTTTCGCCTCAGCCTCCCAAGGAGCTAGGCCTACAGCCCCATACCACCATGCCTGGCTAATGTTTAAAACATTTTTAGGCGGGCTCGGTGGTTCAACCTGTAATTCCAGCACTTTAGGAGGCTGAGGCACCTTGAAGAGACCTCGTCTCTACAATTAAAAAAATAAATATATCCGCTGGGCGTGGTAGCGCGCATTGCAGTTCCAGCTACCTGGAAGGCAGAGGTGGAAGGATCACTGGAGCCGGGTAGATGGAAGCTGGGGTGGCCCTGAGTGTGCCACTGCACTCCAGCCTGGGCGACGTAGTGAGATGCCAACTCAAAAAAAAAATTTTTTTTTTAAAAATAATCTTAAATATTTTTCAAATGCAACTATGCACATGTATTTAATGGTTATTTAGAATTGTTAACTTTCAAAATGTTATTTATTTGCACTGGCTTGAATAATGTACTTGAGCGTTTCCTAAAGCTTAAAAAAATGTAGGTGATTTAGCTAACACAGTTAAGGATTTTTAAGAGAAAAGTGGTTTAGATCTCTTTAAAACATGTTTTTCAATGAACTTCCCCAGAGATGCATGAATAAGATATTAATTCATTGCTATTTGATAGTAAATCCTAGCTTCCACAGGGATTTCGACTAAACTAATTGCTTTCTACTAGGTTTATTTGATAAAAACACCTGTCCTAATATAAAGAATTTCATTTGTTCCTATTGTGGTAGAGAAAATCTTTTCTTGGTTAAGAGTTCCTCATGTAGAGAAAAATGCTGGGCCTCATATTTTATAGCAAGTTAAACAATAAAGTTATCATGATGTAGCTTTTTTTATAGTAAGTGCTTAATATGTTCCAGGCACCATTCTAAGCAACGTGAGGATTTAATTAGTTAACTTAATCCTCATAACAGCTCTATCATGAGTTTTCTTTTTCTACCCCGTCTTATGAGTAAGGAAGGAGACAAAGTAAGTGATTACAGTGAAAGATTTTCAAAATTTCCATTGAGGGAAATTTACAAGACTAGCCTTGTTACAAAGACTAATTTTTTTTTTTTGTATGTAGCTCTGTATTAGTGAAGTAGGTAGGTATAGTCATTCTGGGCATTTTATGCTTCTACATCCTAGGCCTCAGGAAAAGTCATGGTCAAATCTACCAGGTTTGACCAATAGATTCAGAAAAGTTAGAAAAAACGGTGAATTATACTTGAAGCATGTTATTCTTAAATGGACTGGGAGAGTGTTCGTAAAGAGCTTAGCTGGCTAGATTAGAATAAATAAATTGTCCCTCCCCATCTGCTCTAATTAGCTTATCTCACCCGCTTTTAGAGCACGCTGGTGATTCTAGAGAAGAAGTGAGAGCTACTTTGAAAGGACAATCGTTTTTCTTTATGCTAATTTATGATGGTTTTGGAGTGGTTGCTCGCTCTTAAACATAAACTTTTAAATGTTAGGTCTTTCCTGTAACGATCTGCTGTTGGAAGTTTCAAGACTTTGGACGTTCAGTTAAGGATTTTGCCTTCTCCTCATTTCTTCGGTTTTGGGCCAAATGATTATGTTTCCTCTTTTTGGGAAGATTTCTCTGGGTATTTTGATACTTGTTCTGATAGAAGGAGACCTTCCATCATTAACAGGTATTTAAACATTTGTTATTTGTATCCACATTTGTTTTTATCTTTCTATATATCTGTGGTATATTCTCTTAAAGATAGCATTATTTGATTTAATTGCTGTGAGAGATTGAATCAAATACTATTTTATTAATCGTTGACATTGCTTCATTTAAACCATGTAAAAATATGTTCAATAATTTTGGTTTTCTCCCTTCATTGGTAATCCCTGTTTTAAACTATTTCTTTTTTATTTCTTATATTGGTATTGAAGATACACTTGATTTCTATAACAATCTTGAATTAAAGGGGTGGGAATGACATAGAAAAAGATAAGAATGCTTCGCTCCTCTTCTCCCTAGATAGGCATTCCTCTTTATAATTTGAGCATTGACTTCAAAATCCAAATGTGGCACACGTGTCAGTTTTTCTTTGTTACATTTTGTACTGTATCTTTGTTCATCATCAGAAGACTTGGTTATGCTTTCACTGTAGCACAAACCTACTTCTCTTCAGAGGACACCCAAGAACCCAAGAGTGAAGTTTCTTTTCTCCTGCCTGAAGAATCAACAGACTCTTTAGCTACTGAAAAGAAACAGCCTCTGGACCACAGAGAAGCTGAGAGACAGTGGTTACTCAGAAGGCGGAGATCTATACTCTTTCCGGATGGAGTAAAAATCTGCCCAGATGAAGGTGTTACAGAGGCTGTGGCAAACCACGTGAAATATTTTAATGTCAGAGGTAAGCAAACATCCCAATCCTTGGGCTCCATAATGAAATTGAATCACATTTGTTGTATCACATGGTCAGCCAAAATTTGCCACAAGTTAGGACTGAGCCAAATAGTGCTTTCTACTAGCTATGGAAAAAGGACTTGCTAAGAATATAGTATTAATATAATTTCAGTGAGAAGTTTGCATTATTTTAAGAGAAAGAAATGTTTTAAATCTTTTTAAGCACTTCAAAAAACCCAGTTTATGCTCTAGATACATTAATTATAATTTTTACCTCTTAATTACAGTGACTTACCCAAATATATCCACAAAATAGATTTGCCAAGGTATGCTCATCTACTTGCCTATTTAGTTGTTTTATATACATAAAAATATAATCAATTATTATATTTTATAGTTGAGACGTTCTACAGATTCATGTAGGTTGCTCTCTAGTTGATACACACAAAACTTTTTATGTGTAAAATGATCGTACTTCTCAAAAGGGAACTTCAGATTTGATTTGATTTTGTTTTTAATTAAACAGTATTATGCTTGATTTTGTACCTTCTTATGTTACTTTATTCTGTTTGTTCTATATTCTGATATTGCTTAACTGACATTATTATATCCCTTAGATGTTTAGAAGAGTCCCAACCTTTGCTTTTTGTTGCTCAAGAACCAATAAAAAGCCACAATATGGATACGATGGTAGTAGGCTAAAGTGGAAATAGATGATAAAATGATTGTAAAATCAGGCTTTTTCATTCATTCATTCATTTATTCAACAAATGTTTCTTGAGCTCTTACTATTTTCCAGGAATGGGATTAAATAAAACTTCTGTCTGAGCCACTACTTTATCTTCTTTATTTTAATCTTCCTTGCCCTTCCCCTCCTCCTCTCTCACCAAAGTTTTGAAAATGAAACAAAAATTTAACACCAGATCTTACATATATTTATATATGGGGGGTGTCAAAAGGTGTATACACATTTTAAATATGACGTTTGCTCCAAGATGACATTAATCAAATGAATGCTAGCATCACCATGTGACAGGCAGGTCAGTCAAAGAAAATGGCGGAAGCTTGGTTGAGTGAATGTCATTTTACACATTGCTACTGTAATTTAATTCAACTTTGAAAAGTAATACAAAGATAACATCTCTTTAAATGTGTATACATGTTTTGGGCACCCCCCTGTATTTGATGTTTTTGTTAAAGTGGTGCAATGTATTAATAGCGTTTTTTAAAAGAGTATATTTGTATTTGGGAGCTATCAAACATTACTACACAATGTGTTCCTTTTACCTTTTAAATGGAGATTGATGGGCCTAGAATTTTGTGTATAGGGCATATACCAGAAGTGGAAAATTCCAAAAAGAGTGAGAAGAGACTAAAGGAACTGAAAGTGAATGAGAATGACAGTTAATATATTTATCAAGATTTGATTGTTTGAATTTTTTTTACTTTACGGTATATTGTTTTAAATAGATCAGAATATCTAGATATTTCAGTAACTGGTTAAATAGTGAAGAGAAAATAAATCGTTTAAGGAATGTGATTATTCCTTTTGGTTGCTTTGCCCTTGTTTTTATAAATTCAAGAGATAATATTGAAAAAGAAAAACAAAGCATTTCTGGAATAATTGATTTTAAAATACAGATACCATGAATGGTATCCTTGAAAAGGGATCTCATTAAGCTAACATGGCTGACTTACAACATCAAGATTTCTTTTTTTTTTGAGTTGAAGTCTCACTCTGTCGCCCAGACTGTAGTGCAGTGGCCGCTCCCGGCCACCGCAGCCTCGGCCTGCTGGGCTCAGGCGATCCTTCCGCCTCAGCCTTCCAAATAGCTGGAACTACAGGCGTGTACTACCATGCCTGGCTAATTTTTGATTTATTGTAGAGATGAGGTCTCGCTGAGTTGTCCAGGTGGGTCTCGAACCTGCGGGCTCAGGCAATCCACTCACTTCAGCCTTCCAAGGTGCGAGATTACAGGCTGAGCCACTGAGCCCGGCTAACATCAAGATTTTAACAGTGTTGAAATAACTGTTACTGTCATAGTAAAGGATGAATATTTCATTTGTTATGTTTTTGAAAATTGGGAGAAATTAACATTTTAACTTAAGTTTTGATTTTGAAGAGATAGTTTGGATAATTCTTTTAAACCCAAATGTTTGAAACTTGGAGGGAGGAAGCTATTGAATGTCCAATCAAAGATCTTAACTCTTTCTACCAAGTTGATTCAATCTAATGGTTTGCCCAATTGTTCCTCCATAGAGAATTTGGCATCAATTGCTAGTTGGTGTAGCAAATTTGAGAGGAGACCTTAAGCAAGAAGCAACTGCATTTAACCTAATTATTTGTCAAATTAAACAGAAAGGCTACTTGGAGTAGAATTATAAGTCTCCTCCCTCTCTTTTAAAAAAAATTTCCCCATGACCTTTTAAAAAAAATGTTATATCCTTATATACTTAGAGAGGTACAAGTGCAGATTTCTTACATGCATATATTGCATAGCAGTGAAATCTGGGCTTTTAGTGTATCCATCACCCAAATAGTTAACACCGTACCCAGTAGGTAATTTTTCAACACTCACCCTTGTCACTCTCTCACCTCTTGGAGTTTCCAGTATAATAGTATTTCACTCTGTGGGGTCATAACCTTTAAAATCCCTACTTCCCTTACCATCTCGCCTCACCCCACTACTGAGGCAGCCACTAATTTACTTTCTGTCACGATATGTTAGTTTGCATTTTTTATACCTTTTATTTTACTTTATTTTATTGTTAGCCATCTTTTTCATGTTTTTTTCTTCATTTCAATAGCTTTAGAGGCTGCAAATAGTTTTTGGTCCCATGGATGCAGTGTACAGTGGTGAGGAAGTCTGGGCTTTAAGTGTACTCACAACTCCACCTGTGTATACTTACATATATATGTAGAATCATAGTGTATTCTTTGTTTGGCTTCTTTTACTCAGTATAATTATTTTGAAATTCATCTATAATTTTTTTGTATGTGTCAGTAGTTTACCTTTTATTGTTGGGTAGTATTCCATTGTATGAATATACTACAATATGAGATATTTGGGTTGTTTTCAGTTATTAGTGATTATAAGGAAAGAAATTATGACCATTTGGGTTAGGGTTCTTGTGTGAACATATTTTCATTTCTACTGAGTAATAATAGTAGAAGTATGGGTTACTTGATAGTTCTATGCTTAACTGTTAAAGAAATTGTCAGATTTTTCCAACATGACTGTACCATCAGCAATGTATTAAGATTCCAGTTTCTTCACATCATTGTAACCCTTGATACGGTCAATCTTTTTTAACTTTAGTCATTCTAGTGGGTGTATATGAGGGGGGACCCTAAAAACATGGTTTTTTAAAAAAAATTAAAAATTGTATATTTATTCTTATCTGTTAAACTTCAGTCACCTTCAAAGTACTCTCCATTTGATGCAATACACCTATTGAGACTCTTCCCACTGTTCAAAACAGTTTATTTTTATTTTTATCATTTATTTTTTGAGTCAGAGTCTTACTCTGTCACCCAGGTTGGAGGGCAGTGGCACAATCACTGCTATTGCAACCTCGACCTGCTGGTCTCAGGTTATCCTTCCGCCTCAGTCTCCCGAGTAGCTGGGACTACAGGCATGTGCCACCATGCCCAGCTAATTTTTTGACTTTTTGTGGAGATGAGGTCTGGTCACCATTGCCCAGGTTGGTCTTGAACTCCTAGGCTCAGGCAATCCTCTTTCCTCGACCTCCCAAAGTGCTGAGATTACAGGTATAAGCCACCGGGTCCAGCCTTTAAAACAGTTTTTGAACTCACTGATTTTGATGCCTTTTATTGCTTCTGCTATTTTTTGTTTTACCTCTAACACATCAGCAAAATATTTCTCTCTGAGGTTTATTTTATTTTATTTTTTTAAATCTGAAGAAACAAAAAATAGTTACTCGGGGCAAGATCAGGTGAATAGGGATGGTGGGGTGTGGGGGTCATACCATTTTTAGTTAAAAACTACTGAACACTCAGCCCGGTGTGGACAGGTGCCCTGGTAAATCACCCATCATGAAATGGGCAAACACGTTTAAAGAGTCTCCAAAAAACAATTCACTGAAACCTAACGCAGCCTCTCACAACGCTAGCTGGTACACTGGTGCTGATGGCTTCCTAGCAGGAGAAGGCTATGGTACAAGGAACCCACCCCCCAAAAAGATAATTTCAGTTTTGGGGGAGACCTCCCTCATATCTTATTGTGGTTTAATTTGCATTTTCTTCATAACTTGTAACTAATGATATTGAGTGCTTTTTTTTACATAGTTATTTGTCATTTGTATATCTTTGTAGTGAAGTCTGTTTGAATATTTTGCCCATTTAAAAAATGGGTGGGGTCTGGGCACGGTGGCTCAGCCTGTAATCCCAGCACTTTGGGAGGCCAAGGCAAGAAGATTTGCCTGAGCACAGGGGTTAGAGATCAGCCTGGGCAACTTGGTGAGACCTCATCTGTACAACAAATCACAAAAACTAGCAGGGCATGGTGGCGTGCGTCTGTAGTTCCAGCCACCTGGAAGGCTGAGGCGGAAGGATCACCTGAGCCCAGCAGGTCGAGGCTGCAGTAGCTGTGAGCGTGCCACTGCACTCCAGCCTGGGAGACTCCAACTCAAAAAAAAAAAGGGGTGGTTTACATGGAAGAAGTGATAAAGGCTAAAAAAAGAAAAAAGAAAGAAAGAAAAAATAGGTGGTTTGTTTGTTTATTATTATTACTATCATTATTATTTTGAGTCGAGGTCTCATTCTGTTGCCCAGACTGGAGAGAAGTGGCACAACCATAGCTCACTGAAGCCTCAACCTCTTGCGCTTAGGCAACCTTCCTGCCTCAGTTTTCTGAGTAGCTGGGATTACAGGTGTGCTCCACCATGCCCAGCTGAGTTTAGCTGGGATTACAGGGTTGCACCACCATGACCAGCTGAGTTTTTAATTTTTTTGTAGAGATGAAGTCTCACAATGTTACCCAGGCT